CTCACCCGCCATCCTTGTCTCTGTACCCACAGTCCTAATCCACAGTGGCCTCAAGGTTGCTGGACTGGACACCTGCTGTGGCCTCCTCTCCCAGGGCTCTGTGTCCTTACACCTCCCAGCTAGCCTCTCACCTTGCCTATCCAGGTCCAGCACCCACAGGCCCCTCTGCTGGAGGGAGAGCATCCCTCCTGCTCCACCAGCCTGGCTTTAACCTCCATTCAGCAAGGGGAATGCCTTTGCCTCCCCACCTGCCCCTTGGGGCCAGACTCATTTCCTAGCTTTCTCTCCCGTACAGTGGATGGCCACGTATGAGCTGCAGACTCAGCCTAGGGGACGCTCCTCTCTATGACTCCTGGAGAGCTTCCTGGAGGAAGGGGCTGGGCAGATCCAGAGCAGGGAGAGAGCATTCTGGGGAAAGGTATTTGTCCTCCTATCTCAGCACCTGGCTGCAGGGGCCACTGTTACCTTTCACCAGACAGCCTGGGACATGCTTCCCATCTGTGCCGCTGCTGCCAGAGTTGGGCCAGACCCTGAGTTGGAGGGAGGGTGTGGGCAGGTAAAAGTGGCCCCTATAACCAGCTAAATTCCCCTGGCCCTGCCCTGGGCCGCCCCCCACCCATAAATCTAAGCTTGCGGGGACAGGTCCTGGGCCTCTGCCCGAGAACCAGGTGGCAGTGCCTCAGGCCCAGGCTACAGCTCCAGTCCGCCCTGGCTGTTTTTCATCATGCCCCGTGTGGTTTCTGTCTCCCTGCCTTCCTCTTTCTGGCTTCCCTACAGAAGCTGGGGAGTGTATACAAAGTCACAGGCCAGAGCCTGGCCTGGACATGCACCAGCCCATGCCACTGTCCACCCCATGCCCTTACAGCCGGTGCTGCGGCACCCCCATTCCTTCTGCCTGGGTGCTCTTGGGGTTGGTCCACCCCCCCAGCTGGACTTCCAGCCAAGTACCAGGGGGCAGCCAAGTACCAGGTCTGCTAGTGACATTAGCACCAGCCCCCAGGGCCCATTTCCCCCTTCATCTGCCCCACCTGACTCCATGCTCCTCCAGGGAGCAACCGAATGCCTTCTGCTGAAGGGCCAGAGCAGAGCACAGAGGACGCTCCGGGGCATCTGTTGGAAGTGGAGGGGTTGGCAGGCCCCTCTACCAGGGTTCCTCCTGCATAAGCCAGCCAGAGGGCCGGGTGAAGTCCTAAGTGCCCACCCAACAACAGGAAGGTCAGGCCAGTGGGGACTCAGGTTCAGGAGCAAGTTATGTCCTGCTGACACTTCCCAAGGCTAGACACATGCTGGCCCTTCATATATATGCTTACGCTGACCCCTCCAAGTGTCCTTTATGGAGATGGAACAGCATAACGGTCAAGGCCATGAGTGCTGGACTCAGACCTCAGTTCAAATCCCGCCTCTGCCGCATAACAGCTGTGCGAATTTGGACAAGCTTCTCAACCTCCTGGACCTTGGATTTCTCACCCGTGAAAGGGAGCGGACATGCCCCCATCTGACAGGAACTGTGAGAGATGGCTCTCGAGGCAAGAATCAAGGCTCTACCGGTAGCAGGCCGTCTCTGAGATCGGAAAATGGAGCTGAGAAGCTATCCCAGCACCCACAGCCTGCAAGAGGCCACACTGGGGTCAACCGAAGCCCCGTTCCTCTCACTTCCTCTGTTCTGCTGGCAAATCGAGGAGCCCACCATGCACTGAAGCCAGCCCCAGATCAAGCCGAGCCAGGGGGGTGGGGGGGTGCAGCCAAACCACAGCGCCCAGGCTGCCTGAGGCCACCCAGCCAGCGCAGGCCCTTCAGCCACACCTCTCCCATTTCCCAAACTGTGCGTTCCTGATCCTGCGGCCAGGTTCACACCCACTGCAGGCCAGTCCCCATGCTGGATGGAGAGAGGGCTCTTGCGGACGGCCAAACGTTGAGTCTGACCCGGAGAAGCTGCAGGGCCCAGGAGGAGAGGCAGACAGAGGCTCGGGAGTACTAGTGAGCCCTATTCAACCTGCCAAAGGCACTTTTCTGTGGGTTCTTGTCCCAGCTAAGTCAACACTTCAGACCCTGATCTGTTCCATTCATTTCCAGAAATACTGTGACACACAGCCACAGCACGGGTTACTCCACAGGGACCCCTCCTTCTCAGCCGGTTACCTCCCTCATCCAGGCTGCCCATACCCCTGCTTCTCCTGAGACAGAGGTTCTGGCTTCCAGGGAATAGTGCAGCGATACCCTGTAGGAACCATAAGCCACAGGCACTGGGGATTCCATGGAGAAAGGGGAATGCCCAGAGCAGCTCAAGTAGAGATTTACGACAGGTAGTGTCTGCTACACAGGCCTTCAGGGAAGGGGTGTGGGAAGGGAGAGGCCCAAAGAGAAGGAATGAGGAAGAGAGAGGCCCCATGCTTGGCAAAGGCCAGGGGGTGGGCAGCCCCCAGGAGAGGAGCACTGTGTGTGCATGGGGAGGGGTCTGTGGGATGGGGAGAAGGGTGGACACTCGGTCTGGGCAGCCCAGAGCTCTAAGAAAGGGAGGCAGTAAAGTAGGGTGGAATCTCTGGCCTTCCTCTCTACCCCTGTCCTGCCAAAGCAGGGTTAGATCCAGCACAAGTGCAGACTCAGCCCCAGCTGAATGCCCCGGCCTGGTTCAAGACAACCAGAGCCTCATCTCCCACTCACTCTCCTCTACACACAGGCCAGCCTCCTCACTCTCTCCTGCTTCCTCACTGAACCCCAGTCCTTCCTCCACACATAACCAGGGGCTCTTCACTAGGCTTCAATCTGATGCTGGCTCTCCTGTGTACAATTCCTGCCACCCTGCACCCTGGGCTGGCCTCCCGGACTTGCCTCTCACCCCTCTGCCAGCCCTCACTGGCACCCCAAGCCATTTCTCCCGCGGGGCCTTTGCACATCTTGCTCCCTCTGCCAGGCATGCTCTTCCAGCAACTTCCCAAGACAGGCTGCTTGCTGGAGGCACCTCCCCCCTCACCAAGCCACTCAGGAGCGCCCAGCACTGCTTCTCAGCGTCCTGTTTCATAGCACCCATCACAACATCTCAGGATTTTGTGTGTACTGTCAATCGCTCCCTGCTCTGGATCACCGGCTCTCAACCGGGGGGGGGGGGGGGGGGAAGCGGGGGGAGGGCAGGATTTTGTCCCCCAGGAGACGTTTGGGAATGTCTGGAGGCATTTTGGGTTGTCACGAAGGGGGTGGGGGAGGTTACTGGTATCTAGTGGGTGGAGACCAAGGATGCAGCTCAACGTCCACCAAAGCACAGCAGAGAATGCTCGGCGAGAGGTGTCAATAGCGGCGGGGTTGAGAAAAGCTGCAGGAGAGGAAGAGCCCACGAGAACTGGGTCCCCGGCGGCGCTCCATGCACGCAGGAAGGAGAAATGAATAAGGAAGGGGAGAATGGAGCTACCGAGCGAGTGATGGACAGACGCGGAGACCCCGGCCCGCGTCAGCCCCGCCCCCCAGGCCCGATCCCTCCGCGGACCCCGACGCGCCCACCGCGCGGCCCCGAGGGGCGAGCCCCGGGCCGGGCGCGCCGCGCGGACACTCACCCGCCCGCGGCCGCCCGAGAGCGGCAGCGCCACCCTCCCGCTTCATCGTGCCCCCGCGGCCGCCGGCCGGGAAAGGGACAGGAAGCGCGAGCCGGAAGTGCTCATGCGCTACGCCCGCCGGGACTTGTAGTTCTTGGACTCTCAATGCCCGGCCAGCTGCCTCACGCGCTGCTCCTCAGAAACTACGACTTCCGGTGGCTTCGACGTCGCGGGGCGGGATTGGCAGCTTTAGAATCACTCTATGTTGCAGGTCGGAGTCTGATTGGTTATGTGCCGCTGTCGCTCAGGGTGACGTTCGATGGCCCGTTGCGAAAAGGAGAAGCTTTGCGGGTCGGGTCCGGGAAAGGGGAGCGGGTACTTCCGTCAGGATGGCCCAATCGCAGTGGAAGGGCAGTTTCTATAAAAGCTTGAGCCTCGCGCCGTTCATTCTTTTGGAATCGAGTGCGAGTCTGGGGTTTTTGCTTTTGCTGGTGCCATACGCCAAGGTCATGGGCGCAGTGGGCCCCAAGTGGGTTTGAGGGGATCCCCCAAGTCTGCAGGCCGTCCTGGTCCTCTTCCGCCTCGGTGTTGTTCACGTTTTTTGCTCCGCTCTCCCCACCCCCAACCCCCGTTCGGTCGGAGAAGTCCGAACCTCCAGACCTCCCATCTCCCGGCAGGTAAGGCTGGGCTGGGCCTCCTCTCCCCTAGGCAGCTTCGAGCCTGTGATGAGTTGCTTTTATTTCTGACACCTCGTATGAAAACTGCTCATGCAGTCTGATTATTTTGCAAGACTGAGGCTTCAACGTGCGCCCCCGTGACGGGGGCGGCTGGGTGCGAAACCATATTGCCCGAAATGGGAGTGGGCTTCTGTCTACATTGTGGTGCTGTCTGCCTTCCAGGGCGGTGGGTGACCCGGCCAGAGGCCGTGAACGTGAGTCGACGTCAGCCCGGAGGCCTGGTGGTAAGGCGGGAGCCCGTGTTTGTCTGGGAAGCGCTGAGCAATAAAGCAAAAGTGGTGAGTTGATTGGAACGCAGGTGTCTTTCTTTTCACGCGTGACTGCATCCCATAGGACCCCACGGGAGCACTGGCTCATCCCCGGGTAGTCTTGGGACACTGCAGAGGAAGATGGATGTTCGTACAGTGACTTCCCCACTGTTGGAACTGCCTTCTTCATATTTCCCTATAAGGCCAAAAATACTGGGGGTTTTTGGCCTGTGCCTTGGGTAGGTCAGGAACTCTTTAATTCTTCACTAGCGGGCCATGGAGCACTGTTTTTTATTCCATTGTGTCTTGTGGGAGGAGTGGACATGAATCACCTAGGCTCCCCCGTGCTCCCTAGACACCACTGGGGTTCCAAGCAGCCTAGTTACAGCACGGGGGGCGGGTGCCACCCTCTGAGTGTTAAAGATGATCCGTACTTTGCCGAGGGGTCCAAAGGGGGATTTCTTTGAACAGAAAAGAGAGGCAGTCCAGAAAACACAACTTTATTCACTAGGACTGAAAACAAAGGCTCTTAATCTAAAGACGGACTTCAAGATTTGAGTACGTAGAGTGTACTACCAGCCCCCTGGCTTGACCTCACTAAGCACAGGCCTCGGTGGGGCTGGCAGTTCCAGTTTCCCTGACATTTCTGTGATTTCCCACATGCTGTTCGTCTCTTACAAAGCCACAACCTTGGCATCCTCCAAGGTAGCATGAAAGGAATACCCTGTTGATGCTGGAACCAGAGTCTCCTAGCGTGTGAGCTGGGAGCGGGTGGCTCTGATCCTTGGGGCACAAATGCATGGTATGGTTTGCAGTGAAGTCCTAGGTCCCAGGCACGGGCAGGAGTCCTGCCTTTCCCTGCCTGGGCAGCGTGTGCAGGTGAAGACATGGTTTTCTCTTAAGGGGTCAGGCACTGTACATGTGCTGCTGGTACTGCGGCCCAGCTTCCAAGCTGGGCGTGTCCAGGAGGGGGCAGCAGAGCGCCCCCCGTGGGCTGTACATCGTGGGGTGCTCCCTCCTGTACTGAAGACCCTTGCTTTTCTGTCAAGGCCCTCAGGCAGCAGCAGGTGAAGGGGGGGTGCAGACCCACTGGCTCCTTGAAGCCTGTTGGGCCTGAAGTTGTGGGAAAGGCAAGGCTCCATCTGGGAGTTCCAGGATCGGACACCCTGGGATTGACTTCGGGGTGACTAAATCCGGGAGTCCCTGTAAAGCCTCTGTCCGGCCTTGCAGGGCCCTCCCAGGTTCAGGGTGTGCAGCAGGAGGCTCCTCGGCCCTCCCTCTTGACATAGTCGTGCAGCCTGAAGCGGGGTTCACTGGGGGCCTTCGTGGAGCGCTGCTTCAACTCCCTGTGGGGCAGGGGTGACCATGGAACAGAGTGGCTTCTACCCCAGCAAGGAGATTCAGACTCCAGGTCTGGGGGTGGGGGTCTTCCTGGTGACTGCCAGGACTTACTTTGCAATGGCTGTGAAGGCCAAGTCCACGTTGAGGCCTGTCTTGGCGCTGGTCTCCATGAAGGGCAGCCCGTACTCCTGCAAACAGCTGGTGGCAGCCAGGTGGCAGCCTGGTGGGGATAGCCCGAGTCCCACAACCCCAGGGACACCCCTGGCCACCCACCCTACCCTGGCTCACCTTGGCCAGCTTCTCCCCATCCTCCCGCTTGACCGCACGCTCCTGGGCAGAGTCCACCTGGCACAGGGGTCATGGTGAGAGCTGTCCCAGGGCTTGCCCGCTCCCTCGCCCCTCTGTAGAGCCAGGGAAGAGAAGGGGGGCTGGGGCGCTCACCTTGTTCCCCAGCAGCATAAGCACCACGTCATGCTGGGCATACTCCTGGATCTCGGTCAGCCAGGCCTGTAGGGGAGAAGCTGAGACCAGCCTAGAGGCTGGCACTCCTGCGCACCCCTTGTCCCTCCAGGCCACACGGCACAGACGGCCTGTGTGGCTCTGGCTAACTGGAGGGCCCCAGAAATAGTGGTCCCCGTGCCAGGTGGAGTACCTTATGCAAGGTGTTGGACCGAGCTGGAAGGTCCCCAGACCCCATCCAGCTCACAGGCAACCTGAGCCACCAGAGGGGCCGCCCTTCCCTGCTGTCCTCCGTGGGGTCCTCCGACCTCTGGGGCCCTAACACCCCATGGCCTGTCCCACCACCAGGAAGGAAACCACTGACCTGGATATTGTCAAAGGACGCCTTGTTGGTGACATCATAGAGCAGCAGCAGCGCTGGGGGCAGAGAGCCAGTGAGGACAGCTTCCTGGCGCCCACACCCTCGTGCAGCACAGCCTCCAGGCTGCCTGCCATGCTCACTCCCAGGGCACCCACAGAGCGCAGCCTCCGCTTCCTGGGGCTGGCGTCCTGCGCCCACAAGCTCACCATGGGCGTCGCGGTAGTAAGCGTGGGTGACGCTGCGGAACCGCTCCTGGCCAGCCGTGTCCCAGATCTGCAGCGACAGGCACAGCCCGGGAGTCAGGGCTGCCAGTCCCTTCCCCTCACCTCCCCCGCCCCCCCCCGCCCCCACCTCTCACCTGCAGCTTCACCTTCATGCCATCCACATCCAGAACTTTGTTCTGAAAGACAACCAGCCAGCTCCACTGAGCCCAGCGGCTAGGACAGTGCTGCCCCCTAGTGGGGGGCTCCTGCAATGCAGGCCAGGACCGAGCCTGAGCTTGTGCGGCCCCTGGCACGCCCCCAAATTCACTCTTACCCTGTCTGCCCCTCAGCTGGCTGGGTTCTGTCCCCGATGCCCACCTCCTGGTTCTCCTCGTCTGACCACTTCGCCTCCCTGTACCTGCAGGTGACCTTTCACCTCAAACCCAAGTCCTGGGATGCACCCAGCTCTCCCCACCCCCGTGCCTCCTGCACCTCCCCCTGGTGAGCCCCACCTGGTGATGATGCCCAGGCCCCTCTCCCACTCAGATGGCCATCCTCATGGACTTGCAGGTTGCTGCCCTCCAAGGGCAGCTGTGTCCAGTTCTGGGCCATGTGTGCTCTTTCTCTGCCCACCTGGGAGGCCTGGCACACAGCCCCACTGCCCTCAAAGGCCCTTTGCCACCACCCGGCCCAGTCAGTCACCGAGTCCTGTTGCTCCAGCCCTCCCTCCTCCTCCCTGCCCTGCCCCAGCACCTCTCCAGCCCAGACCTGCCGCCCTGCCTCCCCCTGGCGCCTAACCCTAGTCAGCTTCCCTGCACCTCCTTGCCAACTCAGGTTCGCCATGCACATCTCTCCCTGTACCCTCGCAGACCGTGGAGGCCCTGCCCCAGCCCCTCTGACGGGCCATCAGCTCCTCACAGCTCTACACGTGATGCTCCTCTTGCCCAGAGCCACCCGTGTGACTTCTGTGAAGTTATCGTGGTGTAACCCCAGGCCCATTACTAACATTCTGTGCCTCAGTTTCCCCATCCACAAAGGGAGATAACCAGGGTGCCCATTACATGGCTGCTGCAATGGCTTTATGAGCTACTACGTGCAAAGCACTGAGAACTGTATCTGGCCCAGAGTGAGAGCGAAATGCTTGCTCCAATTTAAAAGCCTTCCTTCTTCCTGCTGGGACAACAGCTCCCTGAGGACCGGACCCAGTGCAGTAACCACAGACCCTGAATTCGGCCTGGTACACAGTGGGTGCTCATTGACTGTTTGCTGGTAATGGTCACCTGGCAGGCCCTCCCCGCTCAGGACTAGTGGCAGGGAGGGGCCCAACCCCACGGCTCCCATCTGCTGGGGTGGGGGTTGGGGGCCTGGTAGCCTCAGGCCCTGGCAGCTGGGACCACACCGCCTCCCTCTTCCCCAAGCTCCTGCTGTCAGGGTGCTTCTGGGTCTCCCAGGAACCAATGGTACAGCCATCTGCCAGGCTGAGAGGAGGCTGGAGAGGACACCCCGCCTTCACTGGCACCCTTGAACAGGGGTGTGAACCGAGCGGCCTCACCTCCCTTGCCACCTGCCCCAGAGCCAAGAGGGAGGTGAGAAGGGAAGGTGGGGCCAAAACAGGCAAAAGACCACCTGTCCAGGGCCTAAACTGTCCTTTTCTGGCACCTGAACACTTACTTCATCTCAGAAGACTTGAGGGGACCTGGACCCCCAAGCAGGGTAAATAATGGCTCCCTAGCCTGGAGGGAGCCCCCTTTCCCGTTCCCAGAATGGGCCTCCCTCCCAGCCTCCCGCCAACTGGGTCTAATTAAAGGGTGAGAAAAATGCAAATTTGGGATTTGTCTAGAACACACCAGCGCCTTGGCAAGGCACTCAGAATTTAGACTGGTGGGTAGAGGTGGGGGTGTGGCTGCTGTGGCCCTCATCATTCCCTGCTAACCCCACAGGCTATTAGGGTGCCAGGGGGGTGTGGGGAGCCCCCAAATCAGGTGCACTCCCCCCGCCCCAAAACCCCAGGGACACAGCCCTCCTGTTGGGGGCAATGTGGGAGGGGGCTCTGGCAGAGGGGAACAGCCAGGTGGGAGCATTTACTGTGAGCTCCCTCACCCAAGGGCAGGGACACCCCCCCCCCAGCTCCCAGAGAGGGTGTATGCCACAGCCACTTCTCTCTTAGGTCTTCGGCAGGCTGCCTGGCACCTGTGTACCATGGGGCAGTGATGTTAGCCTCCCAAGGGAACATGGGCCTTGAGTTCCCTCTGATGGCCACCCCCTGGGGCACCCGGCCCACCCACCCTGAGGCACAGAATACAGCCCCAGGCATAGGAGTGCTACCCCTGCTTCAGTCACATGCAGCCATCACCTGTCTCCAGGATCCTTAGGGTGTCAGGAGTTGGGCATTTTGGTCTTTAAGGCATACCCCCTCGACCACCCTGACCCTGAGTGCCAGGTGGTCCAGAAAGGAGGTGTCCAGGGCTAATGGGGAGCCAGCTGCCCAGGGGTGTTGTGAGAACTCCGTGAGCTGGTGCGGGGGGCCCAGGGCATGGCTGGGTCAGCTTAGTGCTGAGGACATCAGCCTCCCCTCTCACCCGGAAGTCGATGCCCACAGTGGAGATGAAGGTCCCTGCCAGGAAGGCCCCATCCTTGAAGCGCACGAGCAGGCAGGTCTTCCCCACGCCCGAGTCCCCCACCAGCATGACCTGGGGCGAACAGGAGGGTCCGAGGTGTTAGGGACAGAGGGGACCGAGGTGCTGGCCCACCCAGAGGGGTGTCTGGTCTTCCCTGGGCTGGCCTGGTCAGGAGTGGACGAACTGTCCCAGGCCTGCAGGTTCAGCAGGACCTGGGCAAGACAGGATAACTACGGTCCCTGCCGGCTGGACCTCCAGCTTCCACCTCCAGAAGGTCCGGTCCCCTTTCTCCTGAACAGTGGCCCATCTCACTTAATGCGGAGTGGAGGCAGCTGCCTCCATCCAGGGCCCTACCTAACCCCACCCCCAGACCCTGGACACCATGCCTGATCTGAAAGGGGAGCACTTGGGGCTTAGTGGGGAGTGGACTCTGGAGGTTGGTGGCTGGAGACCTTCCGGGAGGCCTGTGGGAGTCTCTGTGCCAGGGGGCTTCTTCTAATCCCAGTAAGATTCTGGAGGAATTTGCCACATGAGGTCAAATCTTGGCCTGAGAAGGCCTAGGTCAGGTCTGGGGACCGGGAGGAGGCAATCAGGCCTCCCCCTCGTCCACCCCTCCCCCAGCCTGCTGTCAAAGGCTCCAAAACCCACAGTTGGAACAACCCCTCCACAATCCACAGGCTTCTGCCTAGGCCTGAAGGAGGCCCCAGTGTTCCCCACCCAACTGGTAAACCTCTTCTTAGTCTCCCCCTTCCCCCCCAAAAAGAGGAGACCCACAGACCCTGGGGGTGAGGGAAGGCAGCATATGGGAAATGGTGAGACTGGGGCCCGGGTGGGCGCGGGACCATTAGGGAGCGGGGACGGAGCACCTGCCAGGTTCGGGACCCCTTGTCCGGCCCTGCCAGCTGGGGCGTTAGGGGGCAAGCCTTGCCAGCTGTTGGGTATCTGAAATCCGGGTCTGACAGCTGTGTGTGTATGCGATGCGCGGTGCCCGCCGTGCCAGCCTCAGGGTGCCGCTCGGGCGGGCTTCCCGCCCAGGGTCCGCCGGGCCCTCCGTCCACTCCCGGACCCCTCCCCGCTCGGCTCGGGCCGAGCGCCACCTGCTGCGCTTGCATGGGGTGGGGGGCCGGCTCACCTTGAAGGTGACATCGTAGAAGTCGCCGCTGCCAAGCGAGGGCCTGCCCAGCTGCGGGGGCCCGTTGGGCCGCACCTGGGGGCCAGGGCGCGCAATCCCAGGGCGCGCCGGCCGGGACCCGTTGGCGGCGGGCAGCACGGAGGCAGCGGGCGCGCTGGCCCCCTTGCTCTTGGGGGTCTTCTTTCTGGACATGGCGGGCGGGCGCTCAGGGAGCTCCCGCTGCAGCCGCCGCGCCCCGGGCCGCCCTGCTCCCCGCGCTCGCGGAGCGCGACGCGGACCCGACCCCGTCCCGCTGTAGCGGCGGCGGCCGCATCCCCGGCGCCCCGCTCCCCGCCGCCCCGCCCCCGCGCCCCACAGCCGGCAGCCACTCAGGCCCGGCCTCCCGCCGCCGCAGCCAATGGCCGCGCTGGGGCGTGGGCATGCAAATGAGCCGGCCGCCCGGGGGCGGGGTCACGAGGCCCGGGCACTGCCCTAGGTGCGCGAGCTGGGCGCGCTCTGCCGGGTGCGGGGATCTCCTGCCCTGCCCCAGGCCCCGCGACCCCGCTCCGTGGCCACCTCCGTGGGGCGGTGGGCCTGTCGCTTCCCCGCGCGCTGTACAACACCCCTCCCTGCTGCACTGCCCCTTGCCCAGTGACCCTCGCGAGATGGCCTCCGGGCCGGGGGGGGGGGGGGGGGGGTGGAGAGTGCCCCGAGAAGGGGGCGCTGAGGCAGTGGGACTGCATGGGTTGGACACCCTGGGTTTCTGTCCCTTCTCAGCCAGAGATGCCACCTGGCCTGCTGTGCCCCCCTCCCCTTAGGGCAGGCAAACAAATCCGGGCGCTCGGGGCACTCAGGGCTCAGCTGACAGCTGGTTACCAGCGGCAGGACAAGCTAGCACTTGAGAGCGGCAGGGCCCTCTCCCCCGCAGCTTCTGCCAGCTGGGCTGAAGCTCCAGGATCCTTGGGTAAAGGGAAATCGGAGTTACAGCTGCAGCAAGCCCTCTGAGTGGCCCCTCCCCTGGGGCTCTGCCCTCAGGGGTCCCGGAGAAGGAGGTGGCTAGCCCCTTGGCCTTCTGGTGCCAGGTTCTGGCCCCAAGGAGGCCCAGTGCTGACTGTCCCAACCCCATGCTAGTCCCTGGCAGACCAGTCTCCAGAGCCTGACACCTCCCCCTGGACTGTCTGTCTCCCCCCAGGATTCTCTGGGGTTTGAGCATAAGGCTGAGATGATCATGGGACCCCAGGAGTGGTGAGCCAAGAGGCCCCTCAGCTGGGGCTTGGGGGCAGCGAGTGTAGAAAGAAACGCAGTGCTTCTGGGATCAGCCTCTGCTCCTTACTCCTGTGGCAGTGGAGGCATGGCCTGGCCGTCCCCCAGGATGTGATAGCTGTCACATAGACCCTAGCGCCTTCGGAGGCCAGAGCCCTCCCTGCTCCCAGTTCCCAGAGCCCAAATAATGATAACGGACAGAAGCTGCCTCTAGGGCTCAGCGGTCTGGGAAAACACAGGGATGCCCCAAGAGGCTCTGGCAGGGCCCTGCATGGGAGAGGCTGTGGGAAGCTGCCTTGTGTTGAGTGTCCTTGTGTGGCAGTCATAAGCATCCTCGAAACTATCCTGTGAGGTGGGTGGTGCTAGGATCCCCAGTGATCAGGTAGGAAAACTGAGGCCCAGAGAGGGGACAAGAGCTGTCCAAGGTCACCAGGCTAGAAAGTGACAGAGCCAGGATTTGTACCTGGGAACTCTGACTCCAGAGAACATAAACTGTCCCATGGCAGTGCTGGTCCAGGAGTCCTCGGGAGACCCGTCCCTCAAGGCCCTATCAGAGCTGGGGGACAAACCTGAGGAAGCCCTCTGAGGGCCCCTTGGCCTCCTTTCTTGTCTCGCTCCTCGGGACCCCTGCTTCTTCCTGCGCAATGCCCAGATGTGTGGATTAAGGGGCTTGGGGTGGGGGTGTTGAGCTCCCACTGCTGGGGCCCTGGGGACTCCAGGTGTCCTATGCTCCACGAGGCCAATTTCAGGGTGGCTGGCCCAGGCTCTCAGCCCATGCCCACTGGCCCCAGGGTCCCAGGCAAAGGGCTCCCTATTTCCTCCTGTCAGCTGTTGCCCGAGGGAAACCAGAAAGGAGTTTGTGTCCCCTAGGGGTGGGGGCTCTAGGTAAGCTGAGTCCAGGGTGGGGGCTAGTGCTAATGGGGGAACCAGGAAGAGAGAGTGGGGAGCCAGGAGGGGAGGAAAGCTGAAAGCAGCAGAGGAGAAATACTTGAGCTTGAAACCTTTAAAATTAGGAGAATATATGTAAAAACCCAGGTCTCTGATTTCTTTCAAAAGGAGAGAGTTCTAGGTCCCCAGATCATACATTCTTCTTGCCGCTTGCCTTCCAGCTGTCCTCCTAATCTTTGATCATTATGTCCCTTGGTTCCTCTGTTTGCCATCTGTCTCACTCTCGGGAATGTAAGTTCTCTGGGTACAGGAAGCAGCTTGTCTTGGTCACTGCCATATCCCTGGCAGCTGGCTGCGGGCCTCAATAAACTTACTAAGTCGGTGAAAGAAATATGAGTTAGGAATGGGCCCCACTTCAGGAGGACACATCATTGCTAACAAGGATAAGGCAGACTATGTCGCAACGTGCAGTGAGGCAAGGCTAATAATAATCAAATAGCGAGAGCCGGGCTTTGTGGGGGAGGGGCATTTGCTCCAGACTCTGAATGTTGAACAGGAGTCCAACAGGAGAGGAGACAGAGAGACTTGCTAGATAGAGGGAATGAATACGTACAAGCTCAGAGTGCCTGTAGGTGGGCATTTTGAGCAGAAGAGGCCAAAGTGTGATCCGGTTGCTTGGAGGAAATCCAGGTGGTAAGACAGGAGGGGGCTACATTCTAAAGTGAATTTGAATGTTTAGCCTAGGAGCTTGGAAGTTGTTCAGTGAGAAGTAGGCAGCCATGCATGGTTCCTGAGCAGAGCAGCAGAGGATACTGCTACAGGGGGTGTAGGAGGTGGGAGCATGGTGCAGCCTGTAGACAGGAATGTGAGTTGAAGGGGTGGCAGTAACCAGGGGGGAGGGAATAGGGACAGAGGAGACCTCCCAGAAATACAGAATCTGTAGGCCTGGGGGTGAAGCAAAGAGAGAGCCCCTGGGGCAGAGACAGTGGAGTGTTGAGGTCCATTATGAACAGCAAGTTCTTTGCTGCCTCTCCCAATCGGGCAGGAAGGCCTCTGTCCCCGACCTCCAGCTCTGTGATTGCTCTGACCAATACATATGGCAGAAGGGGCCCTGTGTGCATTTCTGGACCCAGACCCTACAGACGGGCAACCCCTACTTCCTGTCTCCTGGAACACTCGTTCTTGGAACCGGGCTGCCATACTGTGAGAAAACCCAAATAGCCTTGTGAGGAATCCCAGGTGGAGAGGAACCCACTTGCCACCCAGGAAGTCATCCTGGCTATTGGTGCTCTGGTCCTGGTGGGTTCCACACAGAGTACAAATAGCTGTCCGCACTGAGCCCAGCCCAAACTGCAGATTCAGGAGCACTGGGGGCATTTTTTGTTTATACAGCAATAGATAACTAGACCAGGCTGCCCGCAAGGGGCAGGAAAAGGGCCAGTTTGGTGGGAAAGGTCAGGAGGGTGGCTGTGGCTGGCCCTGAGATGCCTGGATTGTCAGGCTGAGCTAGAGTGCAGCGGGAGGGAGGGGTGCCCACAGCCCTCAACCCTCCTGGCTTAGGTCTGGCTCCGCTGGACAGGCAGAGATCTACATGTACCCATATCTCGGCAAAGAGCTGGAGCAACCCCACATCTCTTCCTGTGTCACTCTGGATCCTCACCCCAGCCCCCTCTGGTGGCCCCCATTCCAGGTACCTTCACAGGCCTGGCAACCCCAGGTTCTGTACGCTGCCTTCTGACTTGCCCTTCTGGGGGCCTGGCCCCTTGGTCCTAGAGTGACGTGTGCCATGAGTCCCAGACACAACAACCCTTTAGGATCTATGGCCTGAGGCTGTCTCTCTCTGGAGCCCCACTTTCCAAGCGGGCCAGCTTTACCCCCACATCCTACTCACCTACAGGGCCATGGTGTTCAAGCCAGGTGGGCTCAGGCAGGGGTGAGAGTCTTCTTGACCTTCCGGGCTCTGCTTGGAGCGCCCCCCTCCCCCACAGGCCGGGAGCCTTCCCTGGCACCTCCCACCCCCGATTCTTTTTTTTTAATAATTTTTATTGTTATGTTAATCACCATACATTACATCATTACTTTTGGATCCCACCCCCGATTCTTGCTCCACTCATGTGGACACTGACATTTGCTCTCCATTGGTTCCTTTGGGGGCTGCCTGGCCTCAGCCCCAGCCTCTAGGCCTCCTGAGGACAGCACCCAGCCTGCCTCCACGAAGCACTGAATGGAGAGGTCTGTGACCGAGCAGGATGGGGCTAGGCTGGACTTCAGGGGTCTGTTAGTAAGGGGGGGGTGAAGCTCCCAAGCCTTGTGACCCCAGAGTACCTCTCATACATCAGTCCTAGGGAATTCAGCTGTCTGTGATCTCAGGGGAAGGACCCTGGCCAGGAATGTGCCAGCAGGCAGAGGTCCCACACTGGATCCTGGGTGTGCTGGGGGACCCCGGGAGTGTGGTGTCTCTAGACCCGCTCCCCTCTCCCTGAAACGAGGGGGTGGGAGGAGCTGATCTCTGAGGTCCCTTCCAGCTCCAACACCTTATGTTCTATGAAATCCACGTGAATGTTGCTATAGAGACCGCAGAGAGGAACCGCCGCAGCTTGGAATTGGACCTCCACCCAGGAGAGAGAAGAAAGAGTCACCCCAGGAAACAGCTGATGTCAGAGGTGTGCTCGCCCCCTCTACCCCACGCCCAGGTGCACAGGGGCCACACCGAGTGTCCTTCTCCTGCCAGGACACACCCCACCTGCCACGCACTCACCTTTGCAGCACTGAGGCCCTCCTGGGCAGGTGGTAAGGGGTGGCCGTCCACCCCTGCCTCCGTGGGGAAGGGACTATTGTGTGAGGGCTGGGGCAGTGGGTTGTTTTCTTGCACATGTGCCCACAAGATCTGCCCTCGGGCTTTCCTTCCCACGGCAGCTCAGACACTCACACCCGAGTGCTCCTGGTGGTCTCAGGATGCAAAATGTGCCTGCCGGAGAGCCCGCCCGGGGCAGGGGTGGGTGGCGCTGCTCTGCAGTGAGGCCCGGGTGGGCAAGACCTCTGGCCGGAGGAGCACAGAGCAG